AAAAACTTATAAGTCAGGAGAGCATGCAATATATTCATCCATCAAGCTCAGCAACCTGAGTAATGGATTTATTCATTATTATTGCCCAGCTTCTGGTAAAGCTTTGACCAATAATTAAAAAATTAATTAGTTTTTGACCTCTATCTTAATTATATTTATAGCTTTAATTCAGAATCAGGTTAGCATGTGGTTTGTGTTAACAGTGTTAATTAATAACAATATCATGAGTGTGTTGACACAAAATATTGTTGTAAATAATGCGATTCAGTTCATTTTAGTTTATAAATTTTATGAATCAGTAACATGTGGAAAATATATGAAATAGCTTATCTAGTTATGAATAAATATAAACAAAGTGTATAAGAAAGAAATTTTGTATGGAAATTATATTCAAAATATAATATTGTGTGTTTGGTGATAGGTCAAATCTATAAATTAACCCTTTGTGCCCGACTTGATTCCTCATCGGATTCTCTGCTTGAAAAAATAGCTGTCTTAAGTGAAACCCTTCATTATTTATTATTTATTTTTGTTTTTATTAAGTAAAAAACATGCGGCCCCATCGTGAAATTCATGCAATATTGGCTATAATTATTATGTAAAAAGAACATATTTTCTCTTTGGAAATCTCATGAAAACGTGGTTTTAATTTTATATATGATGTTTACTTTTGTGCTGATGAAATTTTGTGTAAAATGGCCATAAAAAATTGCATGTATGAAAGATTAAAAGGCTAACCATTTTGAATGGAACAAAAGTGGATTTATGCATGCCCAAAGCCAAATTGTAACTATATATGTTGGTGTGTAACAATAAATTTCATTTAAGTCCAATTAAGCGTGCCAGGAATTTTTAACAACAAATTTTATAGGTGTGATTTGTTTTGACAGATAATTCACACACATTTGAATATTTGTCCCTGCCTACAAAATTTATGAAATTATAAAATACTTGTCTGACATAAAGAATAAATACATTTTAATTAATTATTAATTGAAAAAATTTAAAACATGTATATTAATTGTATAACCTTATATACCAAGTCCACTACATAATATAAATTATAAATTTATTACAATATAAGTGGACTAAATCAAATAATTATATATATTTTTTAGGATTATTTAAAATTAAAACAAACACTTTTTTTTTTTTTTTAAATGTAGATATAAGTATTTATTAGCATATGTCTGAGATTGAGTAATAAATGAGTGTTGTATTCTACTATTTATAATTTAAATCTTTGTTTTGTTGGCATATTCTTCAGCTTTTGAATTTTACAAATAGGTCCTTTAAAATTAAACTTTTACCAGATTCTGCTGACAGGTACTCGAAGAGCCTGAAAACAACAGAACTCATTTCACTCTCAACAGTCAACATTCCACCTTCCTCAGCCATTACACTCTCTCCCAAAAACCTCAAATGATCAATCCACAAACCCCAAACAAACCTCAATCTTAAATCTGCTAACTGCAACAAAATACAAATAATAACAAAAAAAGAATATCAAACAAACCACCTGCAACTCCACTATCTAACCCTCCTCTGCCATGGCATGCAAATACTCATTCTTCCTCTCTCTAACCTTCTCTCTCTTCCTCACAACATCCTACGCACTCTCCGAAGCTGAAATCTTGCTCCAGTTCAAGAACTCCATTGAAGACCCCACCAACGCTCTCTCCGACTGGTCAAACGCCACAGCCGCGGACCATTGCCTCTGGGCTGGAGTTTCTTGCAGAAATACCGAAGGCCCATTTGCTGTTTCGTCTCTAAATCTCCAAAGCTTGAATCTTTCTGGTGAAATTTCACCTTCCTTATGCGGTCTAGCTAATCTCACCCACCTTAACCTCGCTGATAATTTCTTTAACCGGCCAATTCCTCTTCATCTCTCCGAGTGTAGTTTTCTGGTGGGTTTGAATCTCAGCAACAATCTCATCTGGGGCACAATCCCTGAACAGATTTCAGCTTTTAAGACATTGGAGTTTCTTGATTTGAGCAGAAATCACATCGAGGGGGAAATTCCAGAAGGGATTGGTGCATTGCGCCAGCTCAGGGTCCTGAACCTGGGGAGCAACTTGATTTCAGGTAGTGTTCCGGGTGTTTTTGGTAATTTTACCGAGCTCGTGATTCTTGATTTGTCTCATAATCCGTTCTTGGCTAGTGAGGTTCCTGCTGGCATTGGTGGGCTCAGTAAATTAGAACACCTCTTGCTCCAAAGCTCAGGCTTTTATGGAGATTTAGTGTCTAATTTTTTTCATAATCTGGGGAGTCTGCAAATTCTTGATGTTTCACTGAATAATATTACTGGGGTTTTGCCAAAGATCGATTTTTTCCTGCCGAATTTGGTTTCTTTCGATGTTTCTCATAACAGGCTTTCGGGGCCGTTTCCTAGTGGGATTTGTGAAGCTAAGGGGCTTATGAGCTTGAGCATGGATTCTAATTTCTTCAATGGCTCAATCCCGGATGATTCGATCTTAAAATGCAGTAATCTCGAGAGGTTTGAAGTTCAGAACAATGGGTTTGTAGGTGATTTTCCTGCTCGACTTTGGTCTTTGCCCAAGATCAAGCTCATCAGAGGCGAAAACAACAAATTTAGTGGTGCAATACCCGAATCAATCTCGGAGGCTCCTCAACTAGAGCATGTTCAAATCGATAACAATAGTTTCACCACCAAGTTCCCATTCGGCATCGGAAAAATAAAGACCCTCTACAGATTCTCTGTGGCTTTGAACGGTTTGTACGGCGAACTTCCTCCCAATTTCTGTGACTCTCCAGTCCTCAGCATTATAAACCTTTCCCATAATTCCCTCTCTGGAAAAATTCCAGAGGTGAAAAAGTGTAGAAAATTAGTATCTTTATCTCTGGCAAATAATAGTTTTATTGGCGAAATTCCGCAGTCTCTCGCTGATCTGGCAGTGCTCACGTACCTCGATCTTTCTCAAAATAATCTCACTGGTTCTATCCCACAAGAGCTAGGAAAATTGAAACTTGCTCTATTTAATGTTTCGTTCAATCAGTTATCTGGCAGGGTCCCTATTCCCTTGATTTCGGGCCTTCCAGCTTCGTTCTTGCAAGGAAACCCCAGTTTATGTGGGCCCGGGTTAGCCCATTCGTGCTTAGATGACAACAACAAGCCGATGAGCAGCAAACCGTCGGGCTTTGCGAAACTCACACGCGCCGCCTTAATTTTTATAGTTCTGGTCCTTGTGTTTTTGGTGTTTGCTTTTGGATATTATATGATGCGCGTTCAAAAGAAAAAACGTCATTCGGGAGTTTGGAGGTCGGTGTTTTTCTACCCTCTAAGAATCACCGAGCACGAGTTGATTATGTCAATGGACGAGAAAGCAGCCCGGGGACTTGGGGGCAATTTCGGAAGAGTTTATGCCGTTAATTTGCCGAGCGGCGAGATTGTTGCTGTGAAAAGGATAGTTAAATTCGGTAGCCAATCTTCGAAGGCTTTGAAAAATGAGGTCAAGACTCTAGCAAAGATTAGGCACAAGAACGTCGTGAAGATTCTTGGGTTTTGCCATTCGGACGAGGCTATATATTTGATATACGAGTATCTACCAAAGGGGAGTCTTGGGGATATTCTTGGGAAAAAAACGGATTTTGATCTGCCGTGGAGCGTGAGATTGAAGATTGCCATTGGCATTGCTCGGGGACTTGCTTATCTTCACAAAGATTACGTTCCGAATTTGCTGAATAGAAACGTGAGGTCGACTAATGTTCTTCTGGACGATGATTTCGAGCCGAAGCTTACGGATTTCGGTTTAGATCGAGTTATTGGACAAAGTGCCTTTCAGTCGATAGTTTCTTCCGAATGCACAGCTTCTTGTTATTTGGCGCCCGGTATGAAATTTATCTTCTGTACTCTTAAGTATCTCACTTTGTACTAAACATTGAGCTAAACATTGCATTTTACATTGAAATAATTTCAGAATATGGCTACACAAAGAAAGCCACCGAACAAAGTGACACGTACGGCTTTGGGGTTGTGTTGTTAGAGCTCTTGACCGGCCGACAAGCCGAGAAAAACGAGACAGGGGACGATGGACCTTCTCTAGATGTCGTGAAGTGGGTGAGGAGAAATGTTAACATCACTAACGGGCCCACGAGAGTTCTCGATCGAAAGATTTCGAGCTCGTGTAGAGAACAAATGTTGAAGGCTCTTGAAATTGGCATGGACTGCACGAGCGTTGTACCGGAAAAGAGGCCGTCGATGTCTCAAGTTGTTAGGGCCCTTCAGTCTCTTGAAACTTCATCTTCATAATGCTTTTTCACAGTTTTCAGATTCTCTCTGTACTGTGATGAGGCAATGTTCCTTGCTTTGATCCCAAATTCAGTTCTATGTGAGTTGTTGTTGTGCTGTATTGTTGTGTATGCTGTTTGTTATTATTTTTAATATTTTGTAGATGGTCAGCTCTCTTTTTGAGAGATGTATTATTGAAATG